CTGAAACATGTATTAAAACTGCCAAACATGGTCTGGGGCTGCAATGTAGAGTGTAAAACTGTCATGTGGTGCAGCTGTTTGATATGCAGACCAGTTCAAGTCTTGGCCACTGTACTTCTGATTCAGCTCCCTTCTAACGTGTCTGGGAAAGAAGCAGAGGATGGCCCAAGTACATGGGCTGCTGTGCCTACGTGAGAGACCTGGAAGAAGCTCTGGGTCCTGGCTTTGAGTTGGTCTGGCTCCATGTGTTGTAGCCATTTGGGAGAGTAAACCAGCAGATGAACAGAAGTGCGCGCTCTCTCTCTCTGTGTCTCTGTTCTTTCTCTGTCTGTCTCTCTTACTCCAAGTTTTCCTTTCACACAAATATTTTCTTTTAAAACCTGCCTAATGCATGCATCCCAGTACATGGGATAATGCCATGAGAACCATTAAATGCAGTGCCAGTCATGCTACTCACATTATGGTACTTCAGTTTGAGTGCAATTTCCACTTAAAACATGAGGATACCACAGAGAGTTCATGGAAAATAGAATTAAAATGTGTTTATTTTGGTGCAAAAATATTTGAAATCCATACATAGTTTTTTCATAGTGTGTATTTTCCATGAGTTATTTGAAGACCTTTGCTATATTAAGATAGACCCATTTTTTCAACAATTTAGGCATGGTGTAATATAGCAAACTTATAGAAAGCTGAATAAAACAGGATGCTTTGGCAACTAGGATCATTATTACAAATGTTTGGAATTGTTAAAAAATATCCGAGTATGTACTTCATGGCAGGAATCCAGTGAGATGCCAGACAAATCACATGATTCAATACTGTAAAATCAAATTAATGGAAAAAATTGTTTAAAAAGTTCATATGGCTCTTTAAATCCACAGGATAAACTAGAACATAAATGTAGTCAAATTTTATCCGAAAAGTCTTAAGATAGCAGTGAAAGATAATGAAATTGTTTTTCGATGGGAAAGTAGTTATAGTCACTGATAAAATAAAAAGTAGCCCTGAGGTATATAGCACCAAATCAAGCCACCAGAAACACTTCAGTGTTAAAGTGATAAAGAAGTTAAGTGGAAGTTGAATGCTTGTCTACTGCTGGTGGCTTTATAGATCATTTCAGACTTTTGGCATCAATGTGAAACAAAGAAGAAGTCCATGAAATATTTCCACTTTTTGATTTCCTGATCCTATTTCTGATATTTTAAGGTGAAAACAGTATTTCTAGTGTTGCCAATAATAAAAGAACATTTGAAATGTTCTTGAATGTTGGGATGACAAGGGAATGCCTTTGCGCTGACCCTGTGGGAGCTGGAAGGAGAACCCTGTAAAACACATACAGATAGAGAATGTGCTGATAGAATGTTAAATGAAACAAAGGCAGAATTTGCCAATAAAAGTGTATTATGAGCACATCTATGTTAAAACATACTTGAACAGAGGTAGATGTAAAAATTGCAGTCACCCTTCCAAATCTGCTATTCTACTTCCATGGGTTTAGTCTACAGAAGCCTAAAAATATTTAGAAAAAAAACGTATCTATACTGAGTGTGCATATAGTTTGTTATTACTTCCTATACTGCATGTTGTAGCTGGTTTCCCAGCTTTTACCTTTTATTAGGTACTATAAATAAGGGTGATTAAAGTATATGAAAGGGTTGGAATAAATTGCAAACAAGTTCTACACCAATTTATGTGACTTGAATATCCCCAGATTCTGTGATCATGGTGGAACTTTCTGGAACTAAGCCTCCATTGAGGTCTAAAAGTCATATTCAGACAAAAATCAAGATGATTGTCAAGATACGAATGTCTATTCTATGACTATAGTTGGTGCTTAAGTAATGGAAATAAAGAAGTTTTCCAGATTAAAAATATCTTCAATGTTACATGCTTTAGTGGAAAAAAAATGATATAGCAAACTAGCTAGCTAGTATAAGTTAGTCCTGACTAGCCATCAGAACTCTGCTTTTAACCTGTTGTTTCAAAATCTTGCCAATCTGCCAGGGTATCTTTTATATATTACTGTTTCAAGACTTTTTGAGTTGTTTATTCCCATTAGCCAGTTTTTTAGTAGATTGGTAAAGAGGTAAGCTGACTATAACCATGATGGAGAGGGTGTTGTAGCCTCTGTCTGCTTTTGCTCATTCTACCATGACTGTCTTCCTTTCCTGTCCTGAAATGAGAAGCAAAGTTAAAATAATTGGAGCTGAACAAATGATTGATTTTTTTGTTTTGTTTTCATGTGGCAGGGCTGCTGTATGATGCACAGGGAGTAACAGTGGAGTAATAGGTAGGAAGCCGGCTTCCAGCTGCTGCTTGTGGGCCAGTGGTGGTGCTGCTCTAAGAATCAGTTTCACCAGCAATCGAAGAAGGGTTGATGACCAAGAAGGATTTTTCCAGTTCCACAAAGATAATTATGACTCCTAAGTTTATCCTGGGGGACAGTCTGCTGATGGAAGGGCTTCTAAAAGATGTGTTCAGCATTGTAGCACTGTCAGCAGAACTGTATCAGGGAGCATCCTGGTAAACTTGGGGAGCCTGGTTCCTGTGTAGCACGTGGGGTAAACCATTGGCTACAGAAAGCCATGCAAGCCCAGCACTGTGGTAACAGATGATTGATTACCCATAAATAACCAAGGCCGACCAATTGGTGACAAGCATGATCAAATATTAGCTAATGATGGATTGCCCCATTGTTCAGATCGTGGAACTGACAGACACACAGTTATGGTGTGTTGAGACTTTCATAAAACCAAAATATTACAGATGGATGGTCTTCTTGGTGGTCTGTCCCCCAATCTGCCCCCCCCCTCAAATTTGGTAAGGCAGGTAGGAAATACAAGTGAAAAATGAGGAAGAGTAAGCTCAGCTTCTTTCATTGTGTTGTACAATTGCTGTAAGTGTTGCATTCCTGTGTGGTAGAGAAACTGTAGGGAATCTTTGACCATGTTAGGTTTGTTGTTCAGTTTTCAGGAAATGTGGTGCTTTGTACACTACCTGATATCTGCTACTCAAGAGCAGACTTGTCTTTTTCGTGTTACTCAGTGAGTCACTGAGTGAATCATCCGTGTGTAGTAGTATACTTTTTGTACTTTGCTTTTGAACTTTGATATGCATGTTTAAGTCACTACTTTTAGGCACACTTCGAAGAGTGAAAAATTCCTAAATCATTTAAAATAATTTAAGAGCATTCAGACAACCATAACTATGTAGAAACACTATCATACTCTAAGACAGGTGAAAAATCTGTTAACATTGACCTAATGATGGGCTATGCTAAAGATATTTGAGACTTCTTAAAAGGCAAGAATAATGCAAGAAATGCTCAGGATATTTGTTGATCTAGACTTTTGTACAGGTCAACTACACACTGTATGTTGAAAAATCAGTGAGAATAGAGTTTTAAGAGCCTTAAATTGTTTATGATCATAGGGGAAATACACTAATTCTTCCTTGAAAAATGACTTAATGGTTTATCCACATTTTGCACAAAATCATCTTGGCATTTACACAGCAGTGATGTTGTGAAGCTACTTAACCAAAATTATTTGAGAGAGCATTTGTAACTTTGTCCTAAAATATCAAGAAAAGTAAAAACATATATATTTTCATTGCTCTAGCTATTCAAATGTGAAAAATGTGTGTTGAATGTTGCTGTGGATGGTTGTTTAGGGGATTGTTTGTTGATTCTGTGTAATTAAAAATAACCAAGCCATTTGATATATATCTCGTCATACTTATAGCAAGAACTCCAGAATAGTAACTATATTTATCTCTATTGATGAAGAAGTCTTTTGAGACCATATCCACATGACTTTTCTAGATGACTGTTTCTTGAATAGCAGTATGACTAAAATCTGAGCATGGTTTCTTCTTAGTACATGTAATTATTACTGCTTGCCTTTTCCCTTGTAAGCAACATTTCTTTTTGAGGACAGTTGCCATCTAATACTAATGGACAGCAAATCTGCTTCAATCTTCATGTTTTTCCTACTGAGATTATGAATTAATTTTACTAATGTGTGTAGTGAAACTGAGGGCTGACAGTATGTGGCTAATTATGCATTGCAAATTAAAAATCATATATTTTTGGTTTTGGAATATAGCTTTGAAATTTCACTTGAATGTCTCTGTATTTGATGCTCTGGGACATTTTAAAGTGTCAGTATGCTAACATACTAAACCTGTCCTGGGAGATCTGAATCTGGAGTAGCTGGAAGGTGTCCAATTTTCTGTCTCATTTCTGTTTTACCTCCTAGCATTTATTTTAGAAACTCAACAGTTGAAATATTGCTTGTTTTTTTTTTCTCAAACCTTCTCTGGAAACCCAATGCTTGAACTTTAAAAAGGTCTTCTGGAAATTAAATGGATAGAATAAATAGATATTGTTTATAAACAATAATTAGACTATTTATGAGTCTGCTAACATTTACTGAACACTTTCTGTGGGATATAAGGTGTCATTTTTATAGTGATTCAGAAATTCACACTAGTGCATTTTTTCCAAGACTTCTTGATCATTATTACATTAAAATGATCTGCCCAGATATTGGTTTCTATGATCAACAGAGATTACATGTAGCTAGGCCTTACTGATTTTCAGCAGCTGTAGTGTGCGCATTTGCATGGTGTACATGAATCCTCAGAATCAATGAGTATAATTCTAAAGTAATCACTTGTATGCTTATCTCTAATTTTAATATTCTAACTAATATTAGACATCATTTACAAGTGCCAGTCAATCCTGAAAATAAGCTCTTCTGTTCTCGCACCGTTTCACATTATTGTATTGTCTTCTTTGTGCTTGTACATTCATTTTATCCAGAACTGGAAAATTTAATTTAGTTGCTAGCTGCTTTTGACGTTATAATTTCAAGTAGCAAAATAACTTAATAAAGGGATAGTAGGTGTGATTGAATTTTTGCATTATTAACATATAGGTCATATAATGCTGCTTTAATTTAAATATCATCTTTTTTCCCCCTTATCATCCTTAGGTGGAATCTTTGAAGTTCTAAAAAGATGATGATAATCAGATCTACTTGAAGAATTAACCAAATTGATTTGGGTGCATCACTGCTTTTTGTTTTTTAATTGATTCTTTAACATTCAGCCACTAGGTAAGTTCAACCAAGTGATTTATATGTGGTTTGACCTACATGTTACTAGAAAGATTTATCAAGTACAATATTAAATATGTTTCATATGAAATTTGTGACAGAAACCATTTGAGGCAATCAAAACCTGTGATAGATGACTGCTAAATGAAAATATTATAAACCCCACTGAGTTTTGGAAAAAACATTGATGTCAGTTGAAGAATAGAAATATTGTCATTTGTAGTTTGAACCAGTTCTTTAACTTACCTTTTTAATGATGATGTACTTGTAATCTTGAAGGAATCTGAGAATATCAGATTTTACTTTGAGATTTTAATGTGTAATTGTGTTGCCTTGTATCAGATTCAAGTCTTAAGTATGAACTTTCTGAGAAAACTAACACCCTTCGTTGTGTTAGGCCCGTTTCCTCCCACAAAAAGTCCATTTCTGTGTTAAGCCTAGAAAGTTTCAGTAAAGATTGCTAAATTCAGTTTCCTTGATGCATTATGTTGCTGTATAAAGCTCCAGAGGTAGGGAACTTACAGTCATGGAGAGTTTAAGCTTTTAGCAAATTATTGATACTGCCAAGTCAAGATTTAGTGGGAACAGGACTTTGGCTACTGTTAAAATGTCACAATAGTAAAGCTTGCTCTGTCAAACAGATTTTTGGCATCAGTACTTTAAATGATGCTGATTTGGGGGCTTGAAAAAGAATTTAATCCAAGCAGACTCATGCTTTAATTAACCCTTTACACAATCACAGAAAGTTTGGAAGAAAAAAAGAATGTGTCTTCCTAACTGAGGGTGCAAGGTTTCAGCTTCTAAAATTCTCAATTTTGTTGATAATTCTAAAATTATGCCCTTGTTTTTAAATTTCCCTCCAAATAAACTGGGACTATTTTAAAACCTGGTGAATGATAATGAACAAGGAAGGAAAGTGTCTAGTCATTTGGGAAGCTAACTTCCAAATCCAGTGAACCAACAGTGTCCGTGTTACTTGTAAGCATCGCAAGGATTGATGATGCAGGCAGGCTGCGGGGATGCAGACTGGTATAGCTTGGGCAGTGCCAACATTGTCCCTTCGCTTCATCTGAAACAGTCTTCCTGAAGCAACTGCCCTGGAATCTGACTTCTAAGCTTTGGAACATCCAGTGAGTGTAGAAGTATCAAATTTGGAAGCTCCAGAGATTCTTCCTGTTTTGCCCTCTCAAGTTTATTATGCTATATTCATTTGTGGCTGGTAAGTTTTATTGTTACAGGCACACAGTGGTGTTAAGAAAAAAATGTGGATGATTAAAGCGATATAAGGCAGTTAGACAATAAACTCACCAGGAAGAAAGAGGTCTCAGAAGTTTCAAAAGCAAAACTTTGAAACCTTCAATGGCTATACTAGATATTAGTAAATGAAAATTAATACTTTAAGTTACTCACTTAGATAGCTTTGTCTGCCACATTTAATTTGCCATCTTGCAAGCAGAGCTTTTATAATTCTTCCCAAAGATCCCAGCAGTGTTCAGGTTAAATATGAATGGGTGATACCCAATTTAAATGATGCTGAAGACACTTTCCTGTGAGTGCCTATGGAAGACTGGACAGTGCCCTGACTTGAAGCTCACAGGACCTGATTACTTATCTTGCTGAACTGTGGACTTCAGTGGTATATTTAGTGCGCTGGGGTCCCTGGGCTTGAAAATCTTTATCATTTTGAGTTAAGTAAGGATGATGCGTAGTTATATAAGATCTTGTGAGGAGTAAACCTTTGTTTGAATCCGGTGATGAGAGTAGCTATTCTTGCAAGTCACCATTTAAACATAAAAAGGATTATATTAATCAGGTGGCTGAAAACATGGACCTCACTCAAAGACGGGTACTTTTTCCTGATTAACTAATACTTGTCGTTGTTAGCAAGCATCTCATCAGAAATTTCTCAGCTTTTTTTTTCACAATGTGTATGGGATATACCATCAGAAACTTTTCTGTAATTTTGTTAGTGTACTCCTCAAACAATAAAATCTTCAGAGTTGCACATATTTCCCTAATACAGATTGGCAATAGAAAGAAAATAATATGCAAGAAAGGAAAACCCACAACTCTTAGGGTGATTTTCCTTTTTTGGCACTTTATGTAAAAGATGGTCAATGAGAACTGTTTTATATCTCACTGTTTTCCTTCAAGTAGCCTGTGGACTCATGTTGACATTATTTATTTAAAGCACCATTAGCTGGAGCCTGGACCTTTAACCACATACTTAGATTTGCTTATATTCTCTTATTACATTGGGTGTAATTATTTAAAATCATGTAAGTGATATTTCGACTTAGGAAGGAAGGTGAAAGTTATTAACATTCATTGGGCACATTTTTTGAGCCAGGTTCTGTGCTGTAGGTATGTAATCCTTTTAAATTAAGAATTAAGAATCCCATATCCATTTGAGGATACTGAGTTTCAGAGAAGTAATTAATTTGCTAAGAATTACATAGCTATTACTGTTCATAATTTTTGAATTCAGAAATGATTTAAATCTTACTTTAAAGTATAAATTCTAAAATGAATAATTCTCCAGGTATTTTTGTGGAAACTACCAAATTCACATTTTCCCAGATTTGTTGTTCATCACTTGTTCTTTTTCTCATTTAATATGCCATTTTTAGATTTTTTCTTGTTATTATACTAATTAGGAAAATAGTAGGGAGGAAAACTTAATTAAGTCTATTTGGACACATTTTAGCTGGACTTAGATATGATAAGGGTGCAAATTAGATCTGCTGTTATTTTTGGGTTCAGTGTAACTTCCTTTGCTATCATATATAATCAAGAGTGGTGCTTACAAGCCTCCCCTACAATCTGGCCCCAACAATGCTGCTGTTTATAGAGTGTCATATTAGAGGTTTTCAAATACACACAGGTCTTCTGCTTGGCTATAACTCATCCATTTATCCATTTTATTCACCATTCAGCGGCCATTAATTAGACCAGTAGTAGCAGCAGAGTGCATTTTGTAGCCATCTGAAGCTGACTGAAGGTGGCTTTGTTTTTTCTTCATAGTATTTCCTATTGTGTGTCATTCCATTTGTCCCCTCCTTCACCTTGGGTGTAGGGTGGTGGTGTGGGAGCATCACTCATCTTTAACTCTCCAAACAGAATCTACACAATGGATTTCTGGGAAGATGTGTACTACTATTTGGGCAATGTGTTAATGTTTACAAATGGCATGTATGTCAGTCACCTCATTGGAGGCTATAACAGTTATGTAGAAATTGCTCACACTTTGTTTTATGATGAGGAAGCGTAGGCTTGTAGGGGTGGGAATGGGGTTATAGTTGAATGATTTACTCAAAAGTCGCAGTAGTAGTGAGTCATAGAACTAGAATTCAACCCCTGTTTCCCTGACTTAGATTATAGGTCATGTTCACCGACAGGGCATATCAAGTTGCTTGGCTGGCAGTCACTGTTAAATATTGGTATTTTATTGAATGCTCACTGTACATTGTTTAGTATGATTCATACAAAGAAAGAGAAGCCATATTGAAGTTTCTTGGGAGAGTCAGATCTCATACAATAGAGAAGTCTGAGTTACTGCAAGTGCGAAGCTATGTAGGTACAGTGTGTTTCCCAGACCTCTGAAGGTTTTGCCTGGCCAAGGGCAATAACAGTTAAGTTTACCTCCAGGTTTCCAAGCAACATCTCTATAGATCAAGAGTGACCTCTGGAATTCTGATTGCCCTTGGCTATTACTGTTTTTATTATAAATCTCCAAGTTAGATACTGGACAGAATTGCCACTTAAAAATCTTTATTTTATATGTAAGCCTGGTTGGCTTCTTATCTGAGAATTAGCAAAATAAAAATTAACTTTCTGAATTGCATTTTTCTGCCTCCTCAATGATTTTTTATGAATTGATCCACTTTACTGATGTTAGAATATGGTTAATTCTCTTAGTTCAATATTACTTATCTTCCTCCTCTGCCCCCAAATGCCCATTACATTGACTGTCCCTCCACTGTCTCTTTTTGTAAATATGTGTGTGCTTATAAAGTGAAACTTTCATCCCATGGGACACACTTTAAAGGACAACAAATAGATTTGCAATGTATTGGTGTCCTTTTCAGCCTTCTAAAAGCAATGATTGAAAAATCATAAACATATGATTCATAGCTAATGCATTTAATAATATTCACTGTGAGTTGCTTTTAAAAATCATTTAGTGGCTTCAGAAATTAATGCTCAGGCAGATTTAATTTTAATGATGTGACATGAATTGGCAAGTCTGATCTTTACTATATGTCTAGAGCAGAATCATAGGAATAAGTTAGAGATCTTTTAGTGACTTGCTAGTGATTCTTTTTAATGGCAAAAGACTATTCTTAAAGTAAAATAACAATCCTCTTCCCACAGAATCAAACAAACCTAAACCAAAGCACCTACGTTTCCACACAAAGATACTTTGTTTTCCTTGTCTTGACCATGAGTACCAAAATTGGGTAGCTATCGTTTTCTATTAAAGTGTAAAATTTGTGATCCTTTGGATTTATAGTATTCTTTCTACTCAAATCCCAGTATCTGGAACATTCAGTCTCCCTCTGAGACACTCTGGAATGATTGAAGGGCCCAGGCTTTGAAGTCAGAAAAAGATTTAATGAGACAAGCTAAAATGTGGCCTCAAAATGTCCTAGGTTCCTGGAAGGAAGAAGCAGGTGTCCATGTCAAATGAAGGCTGAGCACAGCTGTCCATGGTGCAGGACTAAGGGCTGTGCACATGTGGCATCTGGCTGTGCTGAGGAGCCCCTGTTTCTGAGCAGGCGTGGTGTGTGCAGAGCTGCACTTTAGCAAGATGGTTCTAGCTGGTCTGTGTGGGATGGCAATGATGTAGGGAGTGGAGGTGAGGATGGGGAGAGTGGGGCGGCTGTCACAGCAGAAGCAGAACCACATGGGAGGCACTTCCATTAATTCCCACAGAAGCTGTCACCTGATATTTGCCCTTTGTGACTCGTCCCACACTTACATCACAGATGAAGGTGGTG